AATCATATCATAAATAAAATATCAGGTTTCTATATTCACAAAGATAATAAACTCTATTTCCTCTTTTAATCACAACACATTCTGTGAAATTTGGGATAAAATTCTATATTTGTAGATATTAGAAAAAGAAAATAATAGTCAAGTAGGATTAAGACTCCAAACGCACAAGTATAGACATGGGAAAACTGAAAATCCAGGATTTTCCTAGTGACTCAGGACGTCAAAGCCATATTTGTGATGCATTTAGATTACAGTCATATGGTAAAACCTACTCAAATTGTAAAGATAAAATTTATTTTTTCTGACATTAATTCTATTTGTAACTCTGTTTTTTGCTATTTTGCATTTGACATCTTACCACTCTTCAAGCTAAATTACATGTATAAAATGAGGGGGAGAGATTCTAGCAAAAGCCCTTTCAACAACCCTCTGATATATATGGTTTCTGCAACAATAACAATTTGGAACTACAACAGCGTGGACCACAGAAATAAGATAACTTGTGCAACGGGGATGATATTTGGAAAATGTAATGTTTATTCTTCTGCGTCTTTGTGCATAGATGACTCGCTAACCGTCCCCAAGCAATGGTTAGGAGGCCGTGACTGAAGGAGGAGGAAGGAGGAAGGAAGGAGGCCGTTGGACACTAGCATTGTTGCACCAAGAATATAAAGAGACTCAATATTCAATTTCTGGAGTTCAAATAAGATTTTTCAAAAGAAAAGAGATTCGTAAGCTAGGCTGTGTGGAGAGAGAAGGGATTTTCTCAGTCTTCTTAGTTCTCACCTAACCTGGAGGACAGAACATAGTTTCTTTATTTGCTTGTTTGGTTTTTATTTGCGTTTTCCACCTATGAGAGGAAAATTCTGGCCGTCGTAAGTCTTAGTCATGAGACTGAAGTCTTGAGGAAAAAGCATTTAATTAGAGGAAGGAAAATACACACCTGATCTTGCAAGGCTTCGGGAACGAGGGAGACAAACAGAAATGAGGAGACAGTGGTTCTGATTTCTGCCCAGTCCCCTTCAAGGCCAAGTTTCAGAAGAGAAAGGACACGGTATTAAAACATGCAGCTTCTTGAGGACCTCCAGAGGCTGAAACCTTTTTCCCTGCTCTGTTTTGGGGACTCTGAAGGACAACACTGCATGCGCTGCTAGCACATCCATCTGGTTGCAGCCAAGGAAGCCATGGCTCCCCTTGGTTCCCAGGCTGCAAGAACAGAAATATCAGAGTTTCCTGGGGAGCCTGGCAAAAAAAGGCCGCTGAACCAGGGTCACTGTGCTCCCACAACAGAAGCTGTGGGAGGAACACATGAGCTGGGTAAACAGGGTCCTAGCCAGACCTCAGGGTGGTCTGCTGCACCAGTGAGAGCAGCCTGCAGGGCATGCCAGCAGGGCCAGCAGAAGCCAGGCAGACAAGTAAGGTACTGGAAAGTGATATAGGAATATACTGTATGTAATTACTTATCTACAGTAAACTTTATATTCTCACATCGGGAAATGGATCCAATCACCTGAGCTAACAACTGTTGCCAACCTTTTTTTTTTCCTGCTGTTTTCTCCCCAAATCCCCCCAGCACATAGTTGTATATTTTAGTTGTGGGTCCTTCTAGTTGTGGCATGTGGGATGCCTCAAAGTGGCCTGATGAGCGGTGCCATGTTCGCGCCCAGGATCTGAACCAGCGAAACCCTGGGCCACCCAAGCAGAGCAAGCGAACTTAACCACTTGGCCATGGGGCTAGCCCCTCCAATCACTTCTAAAATAAATCTTTCCATCATATACAAGTTCCCAAGTTCAAGAACTTCCATTAAGAATTTTTAATTTTAGATATTTAGACCAGGTAGATCACAGTTGAAAATTAGAGTAAAATTTCTGGTATTGAAAGAACAAAACCATGTATTCAGTTCCCCTTGAAGAATCATGCATTAAAGGAGCATTTATTTTGGCCTGAGGGCAGCCCGCATATTTTAATTCACAGTCCCCATAATCTAATCTCAAACAATTTTCAAATAAAAATATTATTTCTGTGCTACAATTATTTTTCCCATTGTTCCATTTCTCTTCAATACTTATCACTAACTCCCACCTTGTCTGCCTAAAAGATGCTCCACAGGGAGACAGGGATAAAAAAGATCCCATTAAGAAAGAGGATTGAGAATAATACACCTAAATTCTCCACAGGGATGCAAGGAGCTCACAAATAAACAAACAAACAGTTTGCAAAATATCAAATGAGGATGATGAGGAGCAAATAGCATTGATCCTCATAAATAAATTTTATATTTAAGCTTAATGACTGATGATCCAGCAGGAAAAAGAAAATAAACAATGACAGAAATATAAATAAGATCTACTTTACAGTAAATTATCTTCTTTAAAACTATCAATCACATTAGTTAGAAATAGAAATGATGAAACGAAAGATTATTCAACCTCCAAAAGTGTTCAAAATCCTAACACAAATGCTTCCCACTTACTAATGTGAAAGTTTGTGAGTAAGCTGCACGTGGAGAAAAAGTAGGTATAGGCTTTAAAATGTGTTTAAACAGATACACTTGGAATGTGCAGAGTCAAAACGCACTTAATATTTTACTAAAAATTGGTCCTATCCCTCCTAAGCAAAAGCAGTTGACATGAATAAAACCAAACACTAAAAGTATATTTTGATAATAGGATATATTTTATATTCAGAAAAAGGAAATGCATTTTAAATGCAAAGTTTTTTCTTGGTATGAATTGCTCTTTTGTGGGTCAATAATGGACATAGTTACTTCTGAGTAGGTGATTATTTAATTTAAGAATCAATATCTGGCCTAAAGTGTCTGAATTAGCTTTATACCCTAATATAAATTAACTGCTTTTAATTTTACTTCAATCATCCAGATATATCTAAAACCTTCCAATTCTTTCTCCATTAAAGTCACATTAATAACTAAATAGTTCCATATTCAATTTTTCATTAGGAAAAAATATAGAGTTGCATTTGTAACACTTTAATCCTGGTCAATACAAACAAGGTTGATGAACATTGTACCTATTCACGAAGAGAGAGACAATGTCCAGTAAGACATTTTAATACAAGGAAATGAAGTATTATCCTTTATGTTTCACATCTGAAAGCTCTTTAACTATTGCTCTGCTTTCTGATTATTTTATGTAATAATTCAATCTTCAATAGTCTTCTTTTTATTAATAATTATTAGAAATACCCACAGAGTAAAATATACAAAACCAACCTGAAAAGGAATTCCATAAATATGATTAGTATTTCTGTATGAATCCAATGGTATTAGCCTTGAAAAATGGCTGATCCTTAGATTACAGTATAAACTAAAACACACATCTGTGAAAAATTTATCCTTTAACGTCTTCCTAAAAGAGTGGTTGTTATTTGACAGATCTTAATGATTTAGTAATATCATGTTCCATCCTTCATTTAATAAGAAAATATCTGCTAAAATTAATCTCTTGTTTGATTTTTTTTTTTTTTGGTGGGTTACAAAGACCACCAAAGTTTCTCTTTGTTTGGGGCATAGGTCATGAGAATTTCCAAATACAAAGGGTTATAGCACCTACTGATGTGTCCACAGATTCAAGGAAGGACTCTGTGCCTAGGATGTTCCTAGCGTCATTAAAATAAGGAATAGTCTTCCCATTATTCTAGATCTCGTTTCATAGTTTCATTCCCCGGCAACCAGGAGCAACTCCCAAATCATTTCTGACTTGTACATGTTTCCCACCTGGGACAAAGACACTGCTTCACAGCACCATGACAACCACACCAGCGACACAAGCACTTGGGTTCATGCAGGAAAATGAAAATCCTGAAAGGAAGCTAGGAGATAAAGGCTTACTATTCCTTGTTTCCCACTGGTAGGAAGTAATTACAAAAATTACTTTAACACAAAGCTTCTGGTGAATGAATAGTTTGTAATTTGAGGGGAGAAGCCTAAGGGCCCAGGGATTAAATAAAAAATATGAAAAGCTGAATGATGTCATACAAGTATAGCCACCCCCAAAAATAGACAGCTTATTGATGACAATGTAGACATTCTTGAGAGATGGCAAGGAGTATATTTTGTTTTTAATCTGAGTTTAAACTGATGATTGATTTAACAGTGGAGGTGAACTTTATGAACCTTTAATAGTTTATTAACCACGTTGTTACCAAGCAAAATTTCAAAAACAATAAAATATCAAATAATTCTGTTCAAACTAAAGACGCCAAAAATGGATGTAATTTCCATACTCCCAAAGCAGAAATCAGAAAAAGAAGTAGATTCAACTCTTCCCCCATGATGAAGTAGACAAGTTTCTTTAGCATAAGCATGCCAAGTTTATGTTTGTTGTTTAATGAAAAAGATGGTATTCCTTTGCCAGAAATTGGCAGTGCTATGTGTTATGAACACCTGCCAATTCTGCGCTGGAAGAGATTATTTGTACTGCCAAATGTAAAACTGCTTTAGGTCTTATTCTTTAAAGAGTAATTCTAAAGCAGAGTACTGCATCTGTGATTTTACAAGTTCAATATATTTTTAAACAGTTCTTCATATTTTTCCACATTTCAAAGACAATACAACACATTTCAAAGAGTCAAGGAAAGAGAATCTGTGCAATATACAAGGATGATTGAGGCTTTTTGTTATTGTTGAATTGTACCATATAATATATTATCTCAACAGGTTCAGAGCTGTGACTTTTATTGAAAACCCAGATAAATATTCTTAGAGAATATTTAAGGATAAGGAATTGAAGTAGATGCTTGTGTTCAGTCAAGTGGAACAGCTTAAGGTTCTTAAGTGTTCTTAGAAGCATAATTTTTGTTTTGTTTTTGTTTTTTGAGGATATAATGTCCTCCTCTCCTATAGTGACAGGTAGCAAACATCTTTCATGCGCTCCCAGTTCTGTGCAACGTACACCTTCTGATTCTCACTGATACCGAGTTGGGAAAGAGAGTAGAAGGCAGCAGAGACATTCCAAGCATCCATGAGCCAATACCTGCCACCTGACTTGCAAGCTAACCTCCACCCACCCCCACCACAACACATATAGAAGGGCATTCATTCATTGACTCTGCAACATGATTATGAAAATATACATGCATTTTTTAAAATTCACTCTCTGTTTCAATGGATCTTTGGACTTGATATATCCAAAATTATACCCATTTGTCATCCTCCATCAAGCTGATTTCTATTTCTCATTTTAAATACCTAAAATCTGGAAAGAGAATTCTCTAGTCTGCCAGATTAGAATTCTGAGTCATCCTTGATCACTCGCTCTCTCTCCAGACCTAATATCTACTCCATCAAATAGCCCCATCAGTTTTACTTCAATCTCAATCCAATTTGGTTCCTTCGCTCCATCTCACTAACTACTCACCTAGTTCAGGTTATAATTGGCTTTAATTTAGAACACTTGCAACAAACTACTGACCTCACATGAATGGGAGTTCTGAGTTGCCAAGCTGACAAAGAAGAAATATGACCAGGCAATTACTGTGACAACTAGCAAAATATAGCTGAATGTTTCTTCACAGGGGCCCTACTGAAGAAACTCTGTAGGATCAGAAGTTCCTTGTTTATGATCTAAACTTTTCCTCATGATTTTCTGTCAGAGAAATTTATGAAGACCATGGCCCGCAAGTGCATTTCTTTCTAAGTAAGTCTTATCTTATGTATTTTATTCCTCTTCCTATAACTCATTGAAGAATGACTTCCCTTGTCTCCTAAAACGATATCCTGAATTGATCTAGAAAAAACACTATTTTATATAATACTACAGTTTTCATTTATAAATCAGTATACATTTCTAATCCTAGAATCAGTTCAGTTTTACATTTTAGAATGATGGAATAAGGTATAAAAATATATTCTTAATTTCACTTGGAAAGTATTTAGTCCCTGAAAAAGCTTGGCTCTCACTCCTATGATCAAGAAGTTAATAGAAGAATTTAAAAGTTATAATATGGTACTTAAAGTTCTGAATCTGAATCTCTTTTTACCCTAGGAAGAGATTTACACTTCTAAAATATACGGTTACTATTTAAGAGTCTCAAAAGGAAGTAAATTGATATCACTAGAAACTCAGTTCAATCAGAACTTCATAAATAAGAAAATAAAAATTGTTAAGCTCATACTAAGGTTTATCATGGAACATTCTAAGAAAGCTGAATGATTCTATGTTGGGTCAAGTTTCAAGGGAATTGAGAGTTAACAAAGGAATCCCTTTTGCTTTGCCCTTGACCATTTAAAACGTTTCCAAAATATATTACTCTAGCTTGTAGCCTATTTCTACTATAACGTAATCTTCTACTCACAATTTAAAACTCAAAATAAACATTCATCAGCATCTGCATTCTTAAAAATGACTCATTATAAAACCTGAGTATGTTGATGTTGATGCTACTGAAATTTCTATTTTAAATAATTTCCTAAAATAATGTCCCAAATTACCTTAATCATATCCAATTATTTTAAACTTATATATCTTAACTACTAAATTATTTTCCCTAAACTAGCACCTAAAAATATGATACATATTAAACATAATATTTCTTGCAAAGTTCTTATTTCAAGAAAAAAAAATAACCTTCTCTTTTTTCCTATAAATATCAGACTACTGAAAAGTACCAGGGCTGATATTTATAGAAACAGATAGCTTCACGACTGAAATGGACCAATAGAGTGCTACTTGGTGAAACTCTAAGTATGACAGCTGGAGCAAAGAGGAGGACAGCCATAGCAACTCATCTGGTCTGCAGTCCTCCAGTACACAATTCCATAACGTGTGGGCTCTGCCTTTAAAAGATATTGAACCACTGTCCCAAAAGAGATATTAGATATCATTAATACGGAACAACTAAGACTATAGAAAAAGTACCCTTTATATCCTTTGACATAACCCGTCTTCTGATTTAGAATGACTTTTAAAACATGAAAATACAAATGATAATTAATAGTGATATATTTACAACATGAAAGTAAACAATCTCTAACCGCTCAACCTTAACAAAACTCCTAAGGTAAATCTTTTGCACAAAAGAATTAATATTAATAATTAATTACAATGACTAGCATTGATTAAGCATCTATTATGGTTGAAAGCTACATTCAGCAACTTGTGCAAATTATTTCTAACCCTTATTACAATTTTGCAGTGTATTTTTAATTCTCACAGATAAAGAAACTGAGGCTCAGAAAGGTTAACTACAATCGAAGGCAGCAGAACAACTGGATGCTGTAGAGTTATTGCTCACACCTGTCTATCCAACTGCAAAGTGCATTCTCTTTGTTACACCACAGGGACCCTCTAGGACAGATGTGCATTTCCTAGGATGGCATCTATTATTAACACAGTCCTGTTGTTTCAAATCAGAAATTTCCCAAAAAATTTTCAGGCCGTGTTAATTTTAAATTTCTTTTAAATTGAATCATTCCAGGTAATAACTTTCAAAAGGCAAGACATGATTAATCTAGAAGACAGATGACTGCTAAATTAAGATCATTTATATTCCCGACATTTCCCTAGGGGAAATTTCCATTACTTTTAATTCAGAAAGCTAACCTGACAAAAGTAAACATAGACTTTTTGAGATTTCCTTAAAAAAAACATAGATTCCCAAATTTCCTTTCTTCTCCATAAAGGGAACTTCCATACCCAACTTATAAGAACATTTCTTTAATTCCAAGTTACTTTCAGATTTCATTAAAACAAACAAAAAAATAGAAAACCTTCAGGTGTCATAACTTACTTGACTTTAGTGGTCCAGCCTACTTTGGAATAAAATTAGACAGAATCATTCGACCCATGGTTTCTTCCACACTGCAAAGTTTTGCAAGATAGACCTTAAAGTCAAATAGCATTCTTATTTTCAAATGTATCTATCATACTGGTCTTAAAATAAAATACAACTCCTTGCCATGCCAGTATACCTCATTTAAAAAGTTTTAAAATAATATTAATAACTCAGACTTTAGATACTTCTGGAAGGCAAAAATATTTTCAAATTTTAACATAAGCTAGAGAAAAGATAATTTTAATGTGAAACTTTAAAAAAACCCGTAAATAACAAACATATTGGGGACCCAATAATGCACTGGAATAAAATGATACCTATAACATATATTCCTCTATGTGTTTAAAAAAAGACAACCATATTTCATGATTTATAAATATAAACTTCTTTTGTTCCCTCCGTATTATACAAGAGCACATGACAATCACATTCTCTTAACTGACAGGAGAGTGGTTTTCACACATCCTAAAATTAGAGTTAATCATCAAGCCTTGTCAAAGATGCCTACCTCTGTAGTGGAAGTCTTTGGACATGTCTATGGGAGCCCGTTCTATTGCTGATCTCTTGTAGACAACATGAATCCTTCCTTTTTCTTCCTCCATCTGCTTACCTCTTTCCAAAGGTTCAATGAAATACTCATCATTATCACTTTTTATCATTCCAGCCTAGAGAAAGCATAAAATGTGTTAATTTTAAAAAGAAATGCCTATTATTTTTAGCTCACAGTTACCTTTTTAAATAGCAAGAATATAATTTGTGAAAATAATGCTTTTTCTTTCCACTTTTAGCTGTAACTTTAAAATGGTTAAGTTATTTTTTTGAGTTTTTAAAAATCTTGTTGAGGTCACGTTAGTTTATGACTGTGTAAATTTCAGGTGTTCATCATTATATTTCAACTTCTGTAGAGACTGCATCACGCTCACCACCAAAAGTCTAGTTTTCATCTATTACTGTACATATGAGCCCTTTTACCCCTTTTTCCCTCCCTCAACCCTCTTCCTCCCTGGAAACCACCAATGTGTTCTCCATATCTAAGCTACTATTAAATATCCTTAATTCATATAAGGTGGAAATTCATATATGGTAGGAATAAAAAATTCATAGAATGTAGAATAAGAACTTTACATAGGGTAAGAATAAGAAAATCATACAACGTATGCATTTCATCAGACTGCAAAAGATGTGCATTTATATATTCTACTGGGTATTTCATCTCTAAAAGAAATCTTATGGGGCACATCAACTTGAGAAACATCTCAAGTTTCCCATAATAACCCACTGCGGAGCTGCTAACCGTGCACGTTTAGTATTCTTTTTAACTCACTTACGTCTTCCTTCTCCACCACTGTGGTATGAGAACAATGAGTTCTGCAGTGCACTCAGTACGTAAACTTATTTCTGTCTTTAAACAGCCTCATTAAGCTTCAGTGGAAATCCTGCACTTCTAACATTTATTAATTTGAAGAACTAACTCATATTTTTCTTATCTTAATCTAACTTCACGATTTTATCTTTTTTTCCTCCTCAAGCTTCATCCTTTCACACCGAAAAGGCTATCTTTACATTAAATTCCTTCCACCTCTCTATTTTAGAATCTCTTTCTAACTTTGTATCATCTTTTGTTTGTTTAGAAAATGCTAGGACTATATTCAGTACTATAGTTGAAGAGAAATGATAGTGTTGTCTGAAATTTGTCCCTCGTTAAGTATCAAGTTGACATTACAGTCAAATAGTTACAGCTCATATTTCCACTTTAAAGTCATACATTCATACTTAGTATTAATTTAAATTTCAGTACATTTATTTGAAAACAATGTTGAAGAAATAATGTGTTAGTGTGGGAACTGTAATTTATTTTCAAAATATATATCAGATCTAGAGGTAAGTCATGTTTTTCTTCCGAGGCCTTCAACTTATTCTACCTTTCCAAATATGAGGCCCCTGTCTCTCATGGAACATACGCTGGGATGGGCAGATTCTTATGCCTTCTAACACCTGATCTAACGGCTGTACCACTCTCTGTCAAGCAATATAGAAATGAAAGGTAGGTACAGGTTACTAAATAGCATTTGTTTTCAGCAAACATGCTTTTGACCACATTCAAATCTTTCCCCTTCTTTCCATCCTGACTTCTCCCACCAGGTACGCTCTCTCCCCTCGGTCCCCTGTGTAAGCCTCACAGAGAAGCCTTAGAAGTTACGGTGTCTCCACATACCATTTCTGCACCCACCTTGATGCTGTGAACATACAAACAGCCCTTGAACCTATGAACCATGTCTTACAAGAAAACACCACCACAGCTTTTTTATCATCTTAGTCCTTACTTTCTTGAACAAACTTCTAGCCTTCACTAAAAAGAACACTGAGTTAGTGGGCATTCAATAGTAATGCTGACACTCCAGATACAACTCCAATATTTAGAGTTATTTTCTCATCTGGTCAATTACCTTTTCCCTACTCCTGTAGGGAAATGCTCCTGTACTGCGAAATGCAGTTTTTCACAAGTGGCCTGATTAGATCTTCACCCTTCAGAGGTTTTCCTACAGTCAATGGATATATCTTCTCTACAAATACAATTCCCAACGTTCTTCTCATGCTTTGCAACTGGCATTGTAGTCTCTTTAACATTGGTATGATATTCTTACATCTCTTCTTACCAGTAGTTTCAACATCACTGTTTTTGCCTTTCTCAGGTGTAGATGGGTTAATAATGTTCATAAAACACATCTAAACTAAGCACAAACACAGTAACATACAACAAGCTAACAAACAGTATCATGTTCAAGGCTGAAGTGTCCAGTCTCATCACTACGCCATCTGTTGGTGGCAGGTAGCATTAACTGGTTTTATCTTGGAAACAGATCTTTTGATGTATACTTAAATTTATAAGTTGAAGTTCATCAGCGGGGGCTTCCATATTTATCTTTATTCCAGTCTTTCTTTGCCCCAAATCCAAATAGTCACCATGTTTGTAAAGTCTCTTACGTTCTTCTCCCAACCTTCCATTTCCACTGCCACTTCCTTAGTTACAGACTTCATCACTGCTCATTTGAATTACAGAAACTGCCTCCCATCTTGAGACTTTCCGTAGATCATAATGACTCTCCCAGATGAGTGCTTAACTCTGGATGGAAACAGTGGTCACTGAAGCAGTCAGCAACTCTGAGCAATGGGCAATAGCTATTGGGGACACGTGAAAGTGATGGAGAGGGCAGTGAGGATTAGTCCACATGCCTTTAAAGACATTTCTACATACCTTCTATTGCAAATATTCAAATCCCAGGCCCCATGATGTACTTTCCCACAGGCCACAGGGAAAACAAAATTTAACACAGCTAAACCTCTCCTATAGAAGGCAATGAAAATTTAAACCAGGTCAAGGCAATATCAATGGCAAGGTAAGAGCTGGGTCATGTGACCTCCAGTAACTCCATGAACAGGAAATCCAAGAGCCTATTCTTTTATTCATGAATGTAAGCAAAGTTTACTAAAAAAAAGTACCTTATATAAAACACTGTACCAGACACAATAGTAAATAAAAAATTCTCAAAGACTTGGTTCATTTGCCTTCCAGTTGAGGGAAATCTAGTCAAATAGAAGATATGCCTAAAGGTATTCAATGAAGTATGCTATGGAAAGTCCAGAAAGTAAGTGACATGGCAGTTGAGAGTCAAATCAAGTGAGATTGTTTTTCTCCACAATGTCACTACACATAGCCAGCTGTCAGTAGGAGCTGCTGATTCTACACCCAAAATTCTGTAAAATCTGTTTTGACTGGAATCTCCCTAGTTCCCACCACAATGGGGACTTCACTTTGGCTACTGCTATTGTCCACACTGTCTCACACTTTCACACAGCATAGTAGACAAATTGCTCTTTTAAAACATCATATTAAATTAGACAAAGTAGGATGTGGTAACAAACGGACTGAACATGTAATGGCTCAAAACATCAGGTGCTTCTTTCTTGCTCACATGAAAACTCAGGTTAGTTCTAGGTCAGCTGGGAAGGGGTTCTGCTCCACCCAGCCATGCAGGTGTCCAGGCTGATGACGGCTCTGTCATTTCAATAGGGGCTCCCAAGTTTGCCCCGTCAGAAGAGGAATCAGCAGGAGGAAGCCCACATGGGAGGTTTGTAAGAGCTAGCTCCAGTTGTGGTATGCACCACTATCATTTATTTCCAGGGGTAGGATACAGTCATGGCTCACAGACAACTGCAAAGAGAGCCAGGAAATGGAACCTGGCTGTGTGCCCAGGGAGAAAAGACCAATGGATTTTGACGAACAGATGGTGTTCTCAACCTCAAATAAGGTCATGTCACTCCTTTGCTTAAAACACTTCAAGTGCTTCCATTGCACTTAAAACCACACTCCTTCCCTTGGCCTTCAAGGCCTGCACCATCTGGCCCTGCCTGTCAGCCTCACAGGTCCCACTCACCCTCCTCGCCGTGCCCCAGCTTCAGGGGACTTTCTTCAGTTTGGTTTTCCTCTGATATTTCCAAGCTCTTTGTAGCCTCAGGCCTTTGAAATGCTGTTGGTTCTGCCTAGAAGGCCCTTCTCCCACCATGCCACACTTCCCTCAGCTAGCTTGTTTTTTGGCCTCCAGGTCTCAGCTTAAATGTTACTTCTTAGGAAATGATTTCCTGACTCCCTCACCCCTAGATAGATTAGGTGACCCCATGTAAATTAGGGCCCATCTTAACCAATCATTCTGACTCAGAGCAATATGTTTTTTTCTTTTAGAGCCCTTAACACAAATTCCAGGTTGTTTTACCTGAATGTTAAATTATTATTCTCTATCTCTCCATGGCACTATCAGCTCCTGAGGCAGATTTGTCTCTCTAACTCACCTTTGTCTCCTTAAGCACCAGCACAATTGCTGGCACAAAATATGCCTTCAATATATTTTTGATAAAAACTACACAAATGAGGGGTATAAGCAAGAGGATGAAGAATTTTTAGAGACGTGTGGCAGTCTTGAAAAGGTGGGAGGACTGCCATGGTGGTGGTGTGACAGAAGGCATTAGACATGAGACAGTCCAGGCCTGAGCAAAGTTCTAAAGTGCAAAAGCCCAAGACACACCTGAGGACAATGAGCAACCGTTCACTCAGGGGACAGGCTGTGCAGGGCAGTTCTGGGAAACAAGGCAGTGGAGGATTTGTATTTCCTCAAGTCTGAATTTTAATATGTACAACGAAGAACAAAAAACAAACGTGGATCAGACAGACTAGAACAAAGTGGTATTTTAAGATTTATCTGGTGATTAAGTGCCAGATGGAAGAAAGACTAGAAAAGTAACAAGCAAAAGGCTAAAATAAAAGTCCAAGTGGCAGAAGTGGCAATGGGAAGAGAAAAGGGGAAAGAGAAAGAAAATAAAAAAGGAACGAATTCAAGACTGATTACAGGAAAAAGTAAATACTTGTTGCCTTTTAAAATGGAAGCTCCTCTCCATAAAACTTGCCAAGGGCTCCCCTCGTCGCTCAGGTTAATAACCAAAGTTCTTACAAGGGCCACTTCAGCCTTCCCTGCTCTTGGCACCACCACCTTCACGGCCCCATCACCTCTCGGGCCTCATCTCCTTAGCCTGGCCTTGCCGGCTCCACTCTAGCCACATAGGGCTCGGTGCTGATCCTTGAACAAACAGGCGTGTGCCCTCGTCAAGGCCT